CAGAGAGTTGTTTAAGCCTGGAGCAAGCAGAAGAATAAAAGATTTAGAGAATAAATGAATGAAATTGAGAACAGAAAAACAATACAGGAAATCAATGAAACCAAAAGACGATTCTTTAACAAGTCAAATCAAATTGACCCATTTCTTGCCAGTCAGAAAAGAAAGGGCACAAATTCACAATATCAGAAATGAAAGTGAGGGTACCTCTACTGAGCCCATGTAGGTAAGAAAATAATGAAGGAATGCTATAAACGAATGCAAATGAAATGGGCCAGTTCCTTGAAAGACACATGATCAAAACTCATACAACGAGAAATAACCTAAATAGCCTTGCATTTGTTAAATACATTAACTTGCTAATTAAAATCTTTGAAATATAGACACATAAGATTTTACCAGCATATATATTCTTATCAAACATTTAAAGAAGAAATAGTGTCAGTTTCCCATGAACTAGTCCATAAACTAGAAGCAGATAAACACTGACAGATGCATTCTATGAGGCCAGCATCACCCTAATTCCCAAATTAAATTACAAGAGCTGGGGATTACATTACAGGAGCTGGGGATGTAGCTCAGTGGTAGAAATTTTCCTAGCATGTACAGCCCTGAGTTTTATCCTCAACAAGGCAAGAAGACAAGAAAAGAAAAGTAGAAATCAGTTGCTCTCCTGAAAATAAGATATAAAAATCTTCAATGAATATTGGTAAGGCAAATCCAATAATGAACTCAAAATTAAAGAAGGGTGGTTTAACAATTGAAAAGCAATCAATATAATTCACATTAACAGACTGAAAAAATAAAGATATCATATGACTGTATCACCTGATGCAGAAAAAGTATTCGACACTATTCAACACCAATTCAGAACACCAATCTAGAAAGTTCTAGAAAGTTTTTAAGTTTGATAAAGAGCATCTTCAAAAATATGTAAGTGCTGGGCGCTGGTGGTCATGCCTGGAATCCTAGCTACTCAGGAAGCTAAGATCTGAGGATCACACTTCAAAGCCAGGCCAGGCAGGAAAGTCTGTGAGACTCATCACTAATAAACCACTCAGAAAACTGGAAGTGGTGCCATGGCTCATGTGGTAGAGCGCTAGCCTTAAGCTGAAGATCTAAGGGACCCAGGCCTAGAGTTCAAAGCTCCACCACTAACAAAAAATATGCATATATATATATATGTAAGTAATATCATAGTTAATGGTGACAAAGTGAAAACTTCCCTCTTAAAGTCAAGAATAAGAAAGATAAGGACATCATTTCTCATTGCTCCTATTAGACCTAATTCTGGACACCATAGCTAGCTCAATATTTAAAAAATGGAGATGAAACTAGTAGACTGGAAAATAGAAAATAAAACTGTTTTATTTGCAGATGCCATAATTGCCTGTGTAGAAAATTCCAGACAATTGACAAACTCAAGGCTGCAAAGTTCCAGAAAAAAAAGTTAATGTACAAAAGTTAAACTGTTTTTCTATATACTATACCAGCAATGACCAATTCAAATTTGAAATATCATTATAATAGAAGTTCTTAAACACAAAATATAGAAAAATCCTTCTAATGTATTATAAATGTACAAAATCCCTCACCAAAAAACTTGGAGAAATACCATGCTGAACACAGGTAAATTGAAAAATGAGTGGAGTCCAAGATCCAAGCAAAAGGAACTTTACCCAACACTGATTGGTAAAGGTGTTTCCTACAGTGTTGTAGGTTAACAATTTGGAAACTACTATATATACACATTGGAATGTAATAATTTTTAAGATAGATAGAAATCAACAGGAGACATATTTCTCAAACTTTGCATCAGAGGGTTACAGATAGGCAAGGGAAACTAGAATGATGCATGCAGTAATTGCAGTAGGAGACACCATTATAAATTTATGCTTTGTTTTATATAGATACAGATATTCATATGTAGGAATATTTGCATTTTTCTTTTACTTGTATGCATAAAGATATATACATATGTGGTTATTCCCTATGCATCTCTATGCATATTATATATGCATGTATGTTAACTGAGAGCTGGAAGCAATGACATCGCAATAGCAATGGGCAACCTAGCCTCTAGATTTTTATATTTTGATTTCTGTCTTCCATCAAAAGATACCAGGGCATCTGGGAGAAATGGCTGAGTCTGACTTAGGCAAGGAAATATTTAAGGTAAGGCCAAGTATTTTATACTGAAAGAAATACTAAAAATGTCCACAATACAGTGATAGAGAATGAATGGAGGAGCTCCTGAGGGGCAATTTAGAAATAATTTGAGCACAAAAATATGAGATGTAATATTGTATTTTAATCCAACATATAAAATAAACATAAACATTTCTGAGTCTATGCTGCTAGAAATAAGTTGAATATATAAATAAATGGAGACAATTTTCAAATATCCTATGCAGAAAAATTTCAATATCTTTTGTGGATATTCTACAGGGAGGATTAGCACTTTGTCCCACTCTTCAAGTATGGGCAGTCAGTAGTGATTATTTCAAGGAATACCATTTGGGAAGGGAAAAGTGAATGTGCAACTTCACCATGGAGAACCCCAGCAAATTCTACATCATCTAAGTGACCAGGTAAAATCAACAGTGACAAATAATATTGATAATATATACCTTTCACATGATGTGATAAGGACATTTACCACTATGGTCTTATCCTAAAAATATATAATGCCTGAATAAGCACAAGATAAATATAAACTCCAATAAATAATATTGAATACCTGGATATTATGTCTTAAAAGTGTCAAGATCATCAAAAACAAGAAAAGTTTATGAAACTTTCATAAAGAAGAGGAGGAGCCTATGGAACAGTGATGACTAAATGTGATGTGGTAACCCACACGGGCATGGTATCCTGGCATAGACAAAGGACATTGGAGGAAATCCGAATAAAGCCTGTACTTTAGTAAATAGCAGGACATCACTATTGGTTAATTGTGACCAATGCACCATTCTAATATAACATGTTAATAATAGGGGATACCTGGTATGGAGTACATAGATACTGTTATTTTAAAAATAATTCTGTGGGGTCTGAGAATGTGGTTTAGTGGTAGAGTGTTTGCCTAGCACGCATGATGCCCTGGGTTTGATTCCTCAGTACCACATAAACAGAAAAAGCCAGAAGTGGCGCTGTGGTTCCAGTGATAGAGTGCTAGCCTTGAGCAAAAGAAGCTCAAGGACAGAGCCCAGGCCGTGAGTTCAAGCCCCAGGACTGCCAAAAAAATAATTCTGTTAAGTCTATAAGCGTACTAAAATAAAAGTTTATCTTTCAAGCACTTTGAGCACATAAAAGGCTAGTGAACAGCTAGCAGGGAAATCATGTACATAGATGAATCTGTTGAAATAGGTAAAACAAGGTTTAACAGGGATGTCTTGGAAACAGAATGTGGCTTAGTAGTAAAGTGTTTGCCTAGCATGCCTGAGGCCCTATGTTTCAGTCCTCAGTACCACAAAAACAAACAAAAAATAATAAAATTAAAAAAGAGAAATGTGTTGGAGACAATTCCTAAGGAAGAAAAGTAGAAACAAGAGATTACCAAGTGATAAGGGCATATCTGGTCAGATTTTTTCCCCTGATTCCATTTTCATTATCTAAATTCTGTAGAGTTGACTATATGCAAACTCTGTGTGTGTGTGTGTGTGTGTGTGTGTGTGTGTGTGTGTGTGTGTGTGTGTGTGTGTATGAGAGGATGTGAAACAATAGGTAAATGTTGTTTGTATGAGATAGAGAGACAGAGAGGGAGAGGGAGAGGGAAAGAGAGGGAGAGATACCCCAACTAAAAGCATGGAGAGGAGTATTTTGTACAAACTTTATAAATTACTAAGATGCAAGTGACTGGGTATTACCTTAACTCAGATAAGCACTATTGTAGTTAAAGAGCTATTTGACATGGTTATTAGGTCACAGTGTTGCTTTTGTTCTTCATAGTCTCCAGCTCAGCAACGGTAGCAGGGACCTTAGAGGGGTACAGGATCCATGAGAAGAGGTATAGTCCCCAGATGACATGGCATTACAAAGGACAGAATGACACCCAAATCCCATGAATTATTTCTGCACACAGATCAGATCTCCCTCAGCCTTTTCCCAAGTGTCTGTCTAGGTACTGGTAATGCTAGTGAGGGAAGAGGGTATATGCCAGTCCAACATATCTCACATACTCAGTGCTTCACTTAGTCTTCTCCATAGCCCTTGAAGGCAAGTTTTAGCCCCATTCCACAGCTAAGTCTGTCCCTTACAGCCATGGAACTATAGTAACTGTTAGCTTGATTCCTCCAGTACGAAGCTCCAAAGATAAAGTAACTTTTAGCTATTGTTTTACACCCTGAATGCAATCATTTTAAAGTGTCTCCACTGTCTCCATAAACTCATCAGACAGTTCTTTTATTGCTTATGTATTTTCTTGCATTTGTCTTTCATCATTTTTTTTTCCAAATTAACATTTTGAGGAGACTGGAAAAATAAAAGAGAAGAAAAAGTCATCTATCAATAACTATTGTTAAGGGCAGGGAAGGTGGCTCAGTGGTAGAGCGCTTGCCTTGCATGCATGAGGCCCTGGGTTCGATTCCTCAGCACCACAGAAGCAAAAAAGAAAAAAATCTGGAAGTGGCACTGTGGCTCAAGTGGTAGAGTGCTAGCCTTGAGCTGAAGAGCTGAGAGACAGCGCCCAGGCCCCACGACCGGACCAAAAAAAAAAAAACTATTGTTAATCTTTTATTGAACATTATTTCCAGAGTTCTTTTCTTTACATATATAACTGAATAAATATTGTTTTCAATTTTGAAGTAGACAAGTACTATATATACTATTCTGCAAGTTGTTTTAAATTTTACAGTGCACTATTGACATTTTCCATGGAACAAATGCTATTGAAACTTTCAAGGTTGCAATTAGAGATCAAAAGTCTGCTGATAAAAGAAGCCTAAGATAAAGTATTTTAATAAGGTTAAAGCACGGTGCTTGGCAAATACCTGCTGGAGGCACTATACATAAGGAATGTCTTCAGTGCCCCTTCTGGGTGCCCTGCAGCCCCCTCCCCGAATTCCCTTGGGCCCCTTAGTTAGAAGGGGTTTTTAGATTTCTTTGCATCCAAAACAAGCCCCCTAATTTCAGCCTGATTTGTCTCCTGTCATCCTTTACCTTTGCCATATTGTCAAATTCTCTTATCATATCCTCATTGCTGAGATTCATATCGTGTATGGCCTCTTTATAGTCCTTGAGATACTGAACCAGCCCCTTGTTGGTTTTCCTTTTGGCTTTCCTGGGTATGTCATCCTCAGCTGGGCGCTTTCTTGCAGCCCTAGTTTCACTCTGACTTTCCCGTCTCTTTTGACTCTCCTTCCCTCATTGGCTTTTCTTTCTCTTTTGCTTTGCTCTTAACTTGTAGCTATTTTTATCCGTTAGAATTTCCTCACCCATAACATTTTACTTTATTTGTCTTCCAGAATACAAGCCCCTTCTGGTTTTCCACATCCTGCGGCTTTTCTTCATTTACCATCTTTCCTTTTTTCCAAGATATTTCTTCATTTTTGCTGTAGAGTTTCACTGACTTTGGAGCCAGACTGGGTATGAATGTCTGTGATGCTTGTATCCCCCCTCCCCGCTAAAAAAAAAACAAAAACCAGAAGTATAACTGTGGCTCAAGTGGTACAGCCCTAGCCTTGGGAGAAAAAGCTAAAGGACAGCACCTAGAACCTAAATTCAAGCCCCAGTACATCCCCTTCCCCAATAGAGAATCAGAACTAAGTCAGAGTTGTGACACAACCAATGCTTTTATTGCAAGAACATTTTTCTCTATAATCTGTGTATTTTTTGGTAAGCATTAACCTAAAAATAATTATTCTTGACCAAAAGGTAAGGGTAAACTCATTAGATTTGCTGTCATTAGTTACGTGGCTGAAGCAGGAATTCTAATTCACTATATCTCCATTCTGTAGGTTTTTATTATTTGCGCTAGTCCTGGGGCTTGAGTTCAGGGCCTGAGTGCTGTCCCAGATTGTTTTCTTATTTGCTTTTTTTTGCTTCTATTTTTTGTTTGTTTTTGCTTAAGGCTAGTTCTCTGTCACTAAAGCCACAGTTCCATTTCCAGCTTTTTTTTCTGGTGCTTAATTGGAAATAAGAGTATTACAGACTTTCCCCCCCTGGCTGGCATTGAACCATGATCCTTAGATCTCAGCCTCCTGATTAGTTAGGATTACAGCTGTGAGCTACCGATGTCTTGCTGCTTTGTTTTATTAATATAACAGACATCTATCAGATGTAAAATTGTATTTCATTTCCTCAATGATGAATTATGTTGAACATCTTTTCATGTGCTTGGTGGCAATCTGTACATATTCTTTGGAGAAATAACAATTCAAATCCTTTGCTTATTTTTAAACTGGATTGTTTGTATTTTTTTTTTTGTCCATTGTGGGACCTGAACTCTGGGCCTGGGCACTGTCCCTCAGTTCTTCAGCTCAAGGCTAGAGCTTTACCGCTTGAGCACAGCACCACTTCTGGCTTTTTCTATTTATGTGGTGCTGAGGAATTCAACCCAGGGCCTCATGCATGCAAGGCAAACACTCTACCACTGAGCTACCTTCCCAGCCCTGGATTGTTTGTACTTTTGAAGTTGAGTCATACAAGTTCTTTATGTATTCTCAATTTTAACTCCTATGAAATATATGACATGCAAATATTTTCTCCTGTTCTATGGATTGCCTTTCCATTGGGTTGATAGTGTCCTTTGATGAAATTTTTTTTTTCATTTTGGTAGGCTTCTATTTATCTTTTTATTTTTTCATTTGTTTGTGGCTTCCCTTTTGGTATCTTTTTTGTTGTTGTTGTTGGTCGTGGGGCTTGAACTCTGGGTTTGGGCGCTGTTCCTGTGCTCTTCAGCTCAAAGTGAGCACTCTACCCCTTAAGCCACAGCGCCACTTTCCATTTTCTAGTGGTTTATTGGAGACAAGAGGTCTCAGGGACTTTCCTGCCTGGGCTGGCTTTGAACTGTGATCCTCGGATCTCAGCCTCCTGAGTAGCTTGGATTACAGGCGTGAGCCACCGGTGCCTGGACCCTTTTGGTATCTTATCCAAGAATTAATTTCCACATTCAAAGTATAAAGCCTTTACCTTGTGTTTTCTTCTAAGTTTTATTGTTTTAACTTTTATGTTTTGGTCTTTGCTCCATTCTGGGTTATTTTTCCTGATCTTGAGGCTTGAACTCTAGGCCTGGGTGCTGTCCCTAAGCTTCTTTTGCTCAAGTCTAGAACACTACCACTTGAGCTACAGGGCCACGTCCGGCTTTTTCTGAGTAGTATATTGGAGATAATAGTCTCACAGATTTTCCTGGTCAGACTGGCTTTGAACCTCGATCCTCAAATCTCAGCCTCCTGAGTAGCTAGGATTACAGGAATGAGCCACTGGTGCCTGGCTTGAGTTCATTTTTATATATTGTATCAGGAAAGGTTGAACTTTATTCTTTGGGAGACAAGTATCCATTTTTCTTAACACATTTGTTAAAAAATAAGACAATCATTAATTCATTGAATAATATTGACATATTTATCAAAAATGGGTTTAATGTCACAGTTAGATAGAAGCAAGAAGTTCTGGTATTCTATTGCATGGTAGGATGACTATATAGTTAACAACAAGTTGTATACTTCAAAATAGAATGAGAAGATTTTATATGTTCACAAAGAAATAATAAATGCACGAAATGATATGATATTGATCTGATTATTGATTGATACCCTGATCCTACCACTACACATAGTAAGTGCTGAAATGTCATACTGTATTCCACAAATATGCACAATGATTATATATTAAGTAAAATAAAAGTAAATCTTAAAAATAATGATTTAGAGTGAATCATCTAGTGGAAAAGGTGGTTATATTCTCATTGTAGCCTTTGCACTTCAATAGGCTTAATTTAGGAATGGTCATGACGTAGGAATCCAAGATCTTCTTGGAGTTGAAGAAAAAGAAGCAACTCATTATGGTTACAGGGAGAGACACGGGAACAAGAGTTAGGAACTTGCCTTAATCGCAGTGCCTGAGCCTTTACTTTGATGGAATGAATAAATCCTGGATGAATCATTTCCTTTCCTCTCTTCTTGGCTGCCAAAAACAGACACATGAGGGAAAAGGTGACATCAATCAAGATGAATTATAAATTGATTTGTTGAATGCCAACTCTTTTGTACACTACTTAAAGATAATAAATGTATAATTTAAAAAAGTTCACATCAAGAAGTCAAGTTAATGGGAGTATGGTACTGGATTGAATGTCGATGCTCCAAACTCTGTGCCATGTGACTCACTTCTTTAATGTTTTTGTTTGGTCGCGAGGCTTGAATTCAGAGCCTGAGTGCTGTTCCTGAGCCTTTCTGCTCAAGGTTAGTCCTCTACAACTTTGAACGACAGCTCCAATTATTGGTTTGGGGGTGGTTAATTAGAACAGTCATACGGATTTTTCCAGCCTGGGCTGGTTTTGAATCACTAGTCTTAGATCTTAGTTTTCTGAATAGCTAGGATTGCAAACACAAGCCACCAGCTCCAGGCTACTTTTATTCTCCCTTTTTGCCATGTCATTTTGTTCAAGTGGTCTTTATGAAGCAGAGTCAAGCATGCTAGAAAACAACTCTGTGAATGAATGTATATATGATGGGGATCCTGAAATATCCTTTGAGAAAATATTTTTAAATGACAATAGGAAAAAGCTAGGGGTGCAGAGACTTCCAGTCATGGAGAGCAGCATATTCAAAGGCCAACCACTGGGAAGTAACTTGGCCCTTTTGGGATGTTGAATAAGTGTGGGAAGGGGTGTGGCTCCACATGAGAGAAAGGAGGAAGGCATGGTCCAGAGCACTGTGGGCCCAGCAGGCAAAGGTCATGTGGCACATTCTGGTAAGGCACTGGGAGTTAGTACATAGGTGTGATCCCACTTGCTTTTGGCAGCCTGAAAGATGTTGGACTTGGAAAACAAAAATGCCAACTTCAGAATGGAACAGAGATGGTGAACATGCACGTGATATGGCATCTTGGATGGGGAATCTGTGCTACTGAAGTAAGAGAACATTAGATTTTTCATTATGGAATCGTATCATTGGTCTGGCAATAGTGGTAATGAAGATATTTAACCTGCTGGCTGAAGTGAATAAAGAACAAAGGAAAGGTGCTCCACCATAGAATTCAAGCCAGGCGGCTGTCAGCTCTACTAAGGTAGGATAAAGGTCACTACAAAACATGGCTCCAGTTCCCTTGCATGAGGCTGAAACAAGCTACTACACTTAGAAATTATTCTGCTTGGGGCTGGGAAGGTGGCTCAGTGGTAGAGCGCTTGCCTTGCATGCATGAAGCCCTGGGTTTGATTCTTCAGCACCACATAAGCAGAGAAAAAAAAGCAGACAGTGGTGCTGTGGCTCAAGTGGTAGAGCACTAGCCTTGAGCTGAAGAGCTGAGGGACAGCGCCCAGGCCCAGAGTTCAGGCCCCATGACCGGACCCTTCCCCCCAAAAAAAGAAATTATTCTGCTTGTGACAAAAGGTCCATATGGCCCCATGGCTTTTTCCTTATTGTAATCATACCAAGACAAAGTTCCTGGCTATTTTGCTATTCTTAAAATATACTATTCACTAAATCCTAACATTTTCCCTTAACAAGCTATAATTTAGAAGTAACACAGAGCATATTTATTTAAATTTCTAGCTACAAGACTTTATTTTCTTCATTTTGGCATCATAAACCACATGGAGCTAATTAGCATTCAGAACTCAATGTTTAATAGAACAAAGAGTTAAATAAATGTGTATGTGTGTATGTGTGCACGTGCGTGCATGTGTGTGTGTGCATGTGTGTGTAGTTGTGCAGGTCTTAGGGCTTGAACCCAGGGGCTGGGCACTGTTTCTGAGTTTTTCTTTGCTCAAGTCTAGTGCTCTATCACTTGAGCCACAGCTTCACTTCTAGCTTTTTGGTAGTTAATTGAAGTTAAGAATCCCACAGACTTTTCTGCCCAGGATGGCTTTGAATCATGATTCTCAGATCTCAGCTTCTTGAGTAGCTAGGATTACAGGTATAAGCCACTGGCACCCAGCTTATTTATTTTTGTTACCAAATTGGAATTATAGAATAATTAATTTTTATAATGTTCTTCATATAACAAGAGACAAGCTTTAAAAATTATGGTCATTAAGCTACAATTAAAGTAAAATTCACTCTTTTTTAGTGAGTCTGTGAGTCTAGTCAAGTGCATACAGTTGTGTAATCACCACCACAATCAAGGTATAAAACATGCTGGACATGGTAGCTCATGCCTGTAATCTTAGATGCTTATGAGATTGTCAAAACTAGCTCAGGCAAAATCTCAAAAAAAAGATGAGTTTGATGAATCATGCTTGTCATCTCAACTATGACTTCTCAGCTATGTAGGAGATGTAAAGTAGGAGAATTGCAGTCTAGGATAGCCTGGCCAAAGAAAGCAAGATACTATCTGAAAACAAAAGAAGAAAGGTCTAAGGGCCTGAGTTATGTAGTAGAGCACTGACCTAGCAAGTTGAAGGCCCTGTGTTCAAACCTTAGTGCCACCAAAGGAAAAAAATGTATGCAATAGTTCCATGACACTAAAAAGTCCCCTATGCCTCTGTATAATACTCCTATTTGCTTCACAACAATCATGGTTAGGACATTTTCTTTTTTGCTGGTCTTGGGGCCTGAACTCAGGGCCTGGGTACTGTCCCTCAGCTCTTCAGCTCAAGGCTAGTACTCTACCACTTGAGCCACAGCGCCACTTCTGGCTTTTTCTGTTTATGTAGTATTGAGGAATCAACCCCAGGGCTTCATGCATGCTAGGCAAGCACTCCATCCCTAAGACACATTCCCAGCCCCAGGACATATTTGTATTCTGAACATTCCCCAAATGGCTTTTAGGTTTTCCTTTTAGTTCTGTTCTCTATATTTTTATTTCTGTTAAAACATTCTCTTTGATGCATGAATTGATTAGACATGTATTAATTTTCTAAGTCCTTAGACCCCTTTCTGATGTTATTAATTTCTAGTTGTATTCATCAAATTGTTGTCAAATAGCACATTCTGTATGGTTTTAATTCTTTGTTTGTTATAATCTTTTTATAACCCAGGATATTTTTTTATGAATACACCATGTACAGTTGAAGAGTGAATATTGTGCTTGTTTTAGGGAGAATGCTCTGTAAGTGTCAATCAGACCTGGGTGGTTGAGATGTTATTCAGTCATCCATAACCTTTTGACTTTTGGTCTACTAACTCTATGTATTATCAAGAAAGGAGTGTTGAAGCCCTTCATTGCAATTGTGGACTTCCTTGCTTCCTTTCAGTTTTGTCAGCTTTCATTCACATCTTTTAAGGTGAGTTTCTGCTTTATATAAACTTATACACACAATATTTATATGTATATACATATATACTGACCCTTATTATCCCTGGTAATGTTTTTTACTTTCAAATCTACACTGATAGTATGAATATGCCAGCTTCTTTTTAAATCAATATTTGCTTGATACATCTTCATCCATTCTGTTACCTATATAATTCTATTTACTTTAAATGAGTTTCATTTTTTGTGAGTGCTGGGGATTGAACTTGGGTCCTTGTGCATGCCTGGTTAGTACTCTACTACTGAGTTATACCCCACAGCCAGAAATGAGCTTCTTGTAGACACCTTATAATCAGACCTTTGTTTATTTCTTTTGTTCTGGTCATGGGGCTTCAACTTAGTGCCTGTGTGCTGTCCCTCAGGTTTTTTTCTGCTCAAAGCTAGCTCTCTACCACTTGAGTCACAGCTCTACTTTCAGCTTTGTGGTGGTTACTTTGAGATCATAGTCTCACAGATTTTCCTGCTCATCTGGCTTTGAACTGTGATCTCATATCTTAGCCTCTTGAGTAAGTAGGATTGCAGGTATGAGCCACTGATGCCTGGCTTAATTTGACTATTTTTTGTTACTTTTATTCTATTCTGATAATGTCAACCATTCTTTTGTGTATTTACTTTTAATGTACTTATTGGTATGTTTAATTTAGGTCTTCTACTTTATTAGTATTTATTTTCCCCACAGGTTTTCATTACCTCTTCTTCTTTCTTTTTTGCCTTTCTTAGATTTATTTGAGCACTTCTTAATGGCTCACTGTAGTTATCTATTATGATTTTGAAAGTAGTATCCACAGATCACACACAGGCAAATTCATCCTATCACAAATTAAGAGTAAGTTTTGAAAGATAATTCCATAAATTTCCAAAAAGCAAAGAGCTCAGGAATTCAAGTCCAGTTTAGGTATAATAACATGTCACAAAATGGTTTTAGTTTGGAAAGATGATGTTTTAATAACTTTATCAGTGGTTGGGTGCAGGTAGTTCTTGTCTGTAATCCTAGCTATGCAGGGACACTGGGATTTGAGGATTGAATTCAAAGACAGCTCTTACAGGGAAGTTCATGAGACATATCTCCAATTAACCATCAAAAAAGCCAAAAGTAGATCTGTGGTTCAAGTGGTAGAGCACTAGCCTTGAGCAACAAAGCTCAAGGACAGCACCCAGACCCTGAGTTCAAGCCCCAGGACTGGCACACACACACACACACACACACACAACTTTGCCATTATAATTATTAGCATATTCATTATATAAAACAATGGGATTCACTGGGACATTTTCATACATGCACATCAGTACATTTCATTCATATATGTGCATCAATCATCTTCATTCACTCTTTTTTTGCCTTGTTTCTATTCCCCTTATACCTTCCTCCTCCTGGCTTTCTTCCCAGTCTCTAATAGTATATATTTCTCTTACTTTTAGGTAATCTTTCTTTCATTTTATTTCAGTTAAGGAGATGCAATTTAGAATACTACTTGTATAAACATCAATTTCCTACCTTTCAGACAAATTTTCTCCAAAGGAAACATCTATTTTTCTTGACAGCATTTTCTACTATAACCAACGTTAAAAACAGACAATTCATATAACTTTCATACTCAACATTTTTGGCCTCAGATGCAGAATTTCATTTTTATCATATTTGTCTTCACCATCACCACCAACCAAATCCAAAATAAAAAATTGTGCTAAGTGAGTACCCATGAAGAAGGGCAAAATTCCTAGTCCCAAGTCCTTGTGGCCCATTACCTATATAAGAAGAGATCAATGTATGCAGTTTCTGTCAAGCTTTACTTATTTCATTATCTTCTCACCGCCAAGGATGTCTTTTAGATAGTTTTTCTTAAACACAACCCTCGACAGAAGCATATGTAAATTTGAATGGCATAAATCTAGTGCATACTGTATATGTATTGTAGTCCACTTAGGGGTCTCAAACCTTTGTAAATGAATGACAACTTTACTGCAAGAAACAAGTATTTTTCTTGGAAACATTTTATTAGCATATATTCGTTGTACAGAATTATGACATTTAGTATATTGATTAGACTCACTCTTTCATTATTGTCCTCATATATTCCTCCTCTTTTTTTAAAACAATTTCTCTTTCTCTCTTTTGCTTTTGGTGCCAGTTTTGGGGCTTGAACTCAGGGTTTGGGTACTTTCCTTGAGCTTTTGTGCTTAAGGCTAGTGCTCTACCACTTGAGCCACAGCTCCTCCTCCATCTTTTTGGTGGTTAATTGGATAAGAGTGTCACAGACTCTCTTGCCTGGGCTGTCTTCAAACCATGATCGTCAGATCTCAGCTTCCTGAGTAGCAAGGATTCCAAGTGTGAGCCACAGGAAACTGGCTTTTAAAGCAATTTTAACAGGTTTCATTGTTATATTTTCATACATGAATGTAAACTATTTCCAATTATATTCACCCTCTCTGCTCACCTTCCCTCCCTCACTGGTACCCACTGATACCCATGGCCATGGACAGGACAAGCTTTTTATTCCTGTCAATCATGGGTGGTACTGCGTCTCGAACTCATAGTCTCTCACTCTCCGCTTTCATGGTTCATGCCTGGTTCTCTTCCACTTGAGCTACACATGCTATTTGGAGTCTTTTGGACTTTTCTGCCCTACCTGGCTTTGAACCCTGATCCTCAGATCTGTCTCCTGAGTAGCTAGGATTACAGGAGCAAGCCACCTGTGGGGGCTAAATCTGATTTTTTAAAAAAATAGAAATCTAGCTTTTGTTTTCTACAGGTATTTAATCAATTTTGCCAGGACCATTTACTGAAAAAGCTGTCTTTCTTCCATTCATGTACAAGACATTATGTTGAAAACGAACTTTACAGTTTTTTGGGCGGGCAGGAGGAGGGAAAGGATGGTAGGGGAAAAACAAAGGAGGAGGTAACAATGCTCGACAGGAAATGTACTCATTACCCTACTCATGTAACTGTTACCCCTCTATACAGTATTTTTACAATAAAAAATACATATGGAGAAAAAATAGGAAGCAATTTGCCAGCTAATCCTTTTTTTATTGTCAAGGTGATATACAGAAGGGTAACAGTTACATAAGTAAGGTAATAAGTACATTTCTTGTCAAGCTTGCTACTCCTTCCCTCATTTTTCTCCTGCTTTCCCTCCCTCCAACCTCCCCCCCCAAGTTTATTTCCAACATATTGCCTTGTGTATGTCGCTGTTCTATTTGTTTCACCCTCGTCCTTTGTCTCACTATTCTGTTATTCACCTTCCCTTCCCTAATTCAAATAAATGTCTATACAATACCAGGGCACCAAAATCAAATACAGTGACAACAGGGGATATACCATAGGGGGAAGAACATATGAAAGAAAAAAAATCACCTAATACATTAAAAAAACAACAGAGACAAAGACAAAACCTCTTGTGTCTCTGTCTTGAGATTCATTTCTCTTAGCATCATCTTTTTTATTTTTTTTTCTGGTCGGTCGTGGGGCTTGAACTCTGGGCCTGGGTGCTATCCCTTAGCTCTTCAGCTCAAAGCGACCGCTCTACCACTTGAGCCACAGCACCATTTCCTGTTTTCTAGTGGTTTATTGGAGATGAATGTCTCACAGACTTTTCTGACCTGGCTGGCTTTGAACAGTGATCCTCACATTTCAGCCTCCTGAGTAGCTAGGATTACAGGCATGAGCCACCAGCGCCCAGCTTAGCATCATCTTATATGGTCATATGTACATAGCTTTTGACCTCTTCTGTTCATCTGATAAGATTATCCAAGACCTATACTAGTTATTGCAAATAAGGGCAACCATGGGATCTATGTTTCCTTGGGACTGGTTTACTTCACTTAATATTGATATTTGCCAGCTAATCGTAGGTCAAGTTTTCACATGTCGAATATTGACATATATATATATATATATATATATATATATATATATTTTTTTTTTTTTTTTTTTTAGGTCCGGTCATGGGGCCTGAACTCTGGGCCTGGGCACTGTCCCTCAGCTCTTCAGCTCAAGGCTAGCGCTCTACCACTTGAGCCACAGCGCCACTTCCGGCTTTTTTCTTTTTGCTTATGTGGTGCTGAGGAATTGAACCCAGGGCCTCATGCATGCAAGGCAAGCGCTCTACCACTGAGCCACCTTCCCAGCCCGAATATTGTCATATATTTATGTTGAAAATATTGCTATATATTTATATTTCCATTCTAATATATGAAGAATAAAATCCATCAATTGTTCTCCTGAGACTTTGGTGGTAAATTTTAGTTGGTTCAGCATATGCTTTTTTTTTTGTACTGATAAGATACCCTTAAAGTCATTTTACAGCAAATAAAATTCTTTTTTTGGGGGGGGTCTGGTCGTGGGGCCTGAACCCTGGACCTGGGCGCTGTCCCTCAGCTACAGCGCCACTTCCGGCTTTTTTTACTTTTTGCTTATGTGGTGCTGAGGAATCGAACCCAGGGCCTCATGCATGCAAGGCAAGCATTCTACCACTGAGCCACCTTCCCAGCCCCAAGCAAATAAAATTCTTGACAACAGAGACATGCTTTGTTCCAGGAACCCGAACAGCGTTCCACCAGTTGCGTATGCCTCCTCCTAAGTCCCTCTAGTTTGGTTTCTCAGATCATAGCTGGCAGAGCAAAGAAGATTTTGCTTCCCAAGAAAAGGAAGGGAAGAAAGGGGAGGGCTGTACGAGGGCATTTCCGGTGGAAAGCACATTGAGGTTGCCATGGAAACTTGACGTCATCATGGCGACCCCGAGGACCCGATCGGCTTTTTATATGGAGACCAACGAGATCTGGTGAGAATAGCAGGGTCTCACTTTCCAGTGTGTGGACTCGGCTGAGAGTTTGGGTGCCTTTGTGGGGGACAGAAATTCCCTGGGGCATGGGGAGACTTGGGGATCACATACTGAAGTCGGCTGTGTGGGAGGTCTTGGGACCAAGACAAATGAGGGACGCTCCTGGCACCCGGGAATAGGAGGAATGGCGGGAGGTGGGGGGCGGGGCACGGTAATGCTGGAAAAGCATCTCTGAGCACAGCGGCCCATTCTGTGTGGTGGCGGTGAGACTGTTCACCAACAGGATGGCTTGGACCTTCAGCTATGATAGAAAGATCACTAATGGTATAAATTCATGCCACTTCTTCTTCCTTTTCATATTCGTTGTTATAAGATGATGAAAAACAATGACCCTCATGAAAGCCAGACACTGGTGGCTCACACCTGTAATGTGGGTTGAGATCTGAATATCATGGTTCAAAGCCAGACCAGACAGGAAAAGCCTGTGAGACTCTTGTCTCCAATTAAGCTCCCCCAAACCCTAAAAGTAGATCTGTAGCTCAAGTGGTAGAGTGCTACCCTTGAGCACAAAAACTCAGGGACAACACCCAGGCCCCAGGCCCAGGAGTTCAAGCCCCAGGAGTTCAAAGACCCAGAAATTCAAGCTCCAGGGACTGACAAAAAAAAACTCAACCCTAATGAGAAGCCTTTTGTACCTTCTGGTTACTAAGCTGTATCTACATCATTGGTCACTTATTAGAGCCTAGCGTGGTGCAGGAAACCTAGTTTCTCCCGACAGCCCTCATCCAGTCAATGAGATCATCAGGTGACCTAACAAGGCAGATTCTGAGGACCTGGGTGGTGATGACTACTTAAGCTTCTGATCTGAGAAGCAGCAGTACTGAGGAGAGACCTTCACCACTTCCATCTCCCGTTAGGGTACGACACCTCCCTCCAGTGAAGTCATGAGGCTTAAAATAGGATATGTTGTGAAATCTTCCCTTGATACTCACAATTTGGCCTGACAGAAGATACGTTTCTTTGATCTCATCATTGTAGAGTGCATCTGCAACTACATGCTATGTAATAGCCCTTGAGCCCCTTTGTCACAAAGCAGTGAACATTTTGAGGAAGGAAAGTAATGTTTTTACACGGATTTGTAATAAATACATGTATTTTCTTACTGTATAAATAACTTTCAGTGGCCCTGTTTCATTAAATAAATATGGTTACATATACGTGGTTATAGATATGATTATATATGTATATGTGCATGTATATATAGAGAGAGAGCGTGCATGTGTGTGTGTGCGTGCACACACGTGTGCGCACATGCATGCATGCACACCAGTACTAGAGGTTGAACTCAGGGCCTCATACTCTCTTGCCTTTTTAATCGAAGGCTTGAGCTCTACCATTTTAGCCACAGTTCCACTTCTAGCTTTTTGCTGGTTACTTGTAGATAAAAGTCTCAAGGATTTTTCTGCCTGGGCTGGCTTTATATATTGGTTTTTGACCAGAGTTCCTGGCACATCATTCCTTACTCAGGTATGCTACAGATGCTAGAATTTCTCTTTGCTGAGACTGGCCATAGAATCTCTGATCTTTACCTTCCTTTTTTTGTCATGGACCTGACCATCAAGAAATTCTCTGAGCTGGGCACTGGTGGCTCACACCTATAATCCTACCTACTCATGAAGCTGAGATCTGAGGATCATGGTTCAAAGCCAGCACAGGGAGGAAAGTATGAGACTGTAATCTCCAATTAACTACTAGTTGAGCGCTAGCCTTCAGCAAAAGAGCTCAAGGCCACAAACAACCCAAATAAATTATCTGACCTATGTTATCATAAGACTGTCATTTCAGTAAGTGTCCTGAACCAGATCAAAAAGGAAAGAATGCTGTATAGAGCTCACAAAATCTGAGCAGGCCTTTGTGTTTTCCCCACCCAGTCTGATTAGATTCTAGTCTTTTTGTCCAGTCACATTTCTTTGTATTCAATTGTATTGGTGTAGTGAAGCCTCTATTAAAAAAATCCAAAAGGGCTGGGTTTCACAAGCTTCTGAATAGATGAACAGATGAAGATTCCTAGAGTACAGCACCCAAAGAGGGCATAGAATTTCTGGGTCCCTTTCCCCATTCTTTGCCCTATACATTTCTTTCTCTGTCACCTTTGTAATATCCATTAAAATAAACAGGTTAACATGTTTTCCTGAGTTCTATGAGCCGCTCAAGTAAGTTCATAAAGCCTGAGGAGGGGGTTATGGTAACCCTGATTTATAACTGATTGGTTAGAACTATAAGTAAAACAACCTGGGTATTGTGATTTGCATCTGAAGTAGGGAAAGGCAGTCTTTGATATTGAACTCTCAACCTATGGTAGTGTCAAAATTAATTTGAACTAGAGGACACCCAGCTAGTGTCCATTGTTTCAGCAGTGCTTGCTTGGTGGCTGGTGAAAGTTTTATACACCTGAAGTCAGAAGCATGCTGTCAAAGGCAGTAGGAGGGAATGAATTTTAGGGTTTTCCTCTCCTCTAAACATACAGATAATGTATCATTTAGATGGTAGTGGAAATATTCACTTATTAAGTCATTCTGGCAATTTAGATTGTAATATAAATTCGTTCCTAGCAAGTACTTTTTCTCCCATTCTGTGAACAAAATTTTCTTTAAGCCAGAAGTATCTCAAATTTAGCAAATGTTGTTTGTTACTAGAAATTAATATTTAAAAAACAAGAATTACCTTAGTTTCAGTTCAATAATACTAGTACTAGGCCACATCACCTAAGTAACTCGTGTGCAACATTAAGACTATTTTCCTAGAATGTCATGTTTGATTTTTAAAATCTTTATACTTCAAAACAAAATGGGCATCAACTTCCCCGAAGCATGTAGACATTGTAAATTACTATTTATATTGTGGCTGTGTATAGTGTGACCAATTTGATGACAGTGTATATTGATCAACAAGAGCATAAAAGTGGGAATCTTTAAGCTGATTTATTTAATTGGGGTGCACACAATTGACATACACTCTATTATGCTTAATTAGAATACATGCTTTAAGCTAGGCACTGGTAGCTCACACCTATAATCCTAGTTAGTCAGGCAGGAAGTCTATGTGATTTCCAATTAAGCACCCAAAAAAGCCGTAAGTGGAGGTGTGGTGAAGTGGGAGAGTGCTAGCCTTGAGTGAAACAGCTAAGAGACAACTCTTGAACCATGACTTCAAGCCTTAGTAACAATAAAAAATACATACTTTAAACTATTAACTTATTTTCTTATGCTTCTTTGTAGTCCCCTCCACTTACCTGGTGATTCATGGAGATTCTTTCTCCATGCCACCCTGCCCCATTGCTCAGCAAACACTGATCACTTGCAACTATACATTAGTTTTCATTTCCTAGTGTTTTATATAAGTTGAAATATACAGCTTGTATTTTTTGGTCTGGCTTCTTTCATTTGACTTAAATATTTTTCAATTTATCCGTATTGTTATGTGTATGAATATTTCCTTCTTTTTTATTACTGAATAAAATGCCATTAAATGTACATATTATATTTTGTTTTATCCATTCTCTCTTTTTTTCTTGAGATAGGGTCTTGCTGTGGAGGTCTGACTGACTTTTATCTTTCTGTCCTCCTACTTCAGAATCCTGACTCTTGATATTACAAGTATGTGTTCCACCACACCTAGTCTATTCACCTTTAAATGGAAAGTGGAGTTTTTCCCAATATGATTATTTTAAATTAGCAAATTCCTTTCATATTTCTTTTTGTGGTGCTGGAGATTGAATTTAGGGCCTCCCATATGCTAGACAGGTGTGCCGACAATGAACTATCTCTCCAGAATATGGGTCTCTTTTTTTAAATAAAAAGATGCTATGGACATTTATGTCTATGTTTTCATGAGCATATGTTTTCTAGGGTAGATACTTAGGAGTATACTCCATGGCCAGAAAATATGGTAAATATAAGATTAGCATTATAAAAATGTGCTATGCCAGGAGCCAGTGGCTCATACCTGCAATCCTAGCTACTCAGGAGGCTGAGATCTGAGGATCAAGGTTCAAAGCCAATCTTGGCAGGAAAGTCTGTAAGACTCTTAACTCCAATAAACTACCAGAAAACCGGAAGTGGTGCTGTGGTTCTAGTGGTAGAGCACTGGCCTTGAGCTGAAGAACTGAGGGACAGCACCAAGTCCCAGAGGTCAAGCTGTACGACTGAACAAAAAAAAAAAAAAAAAAAAAAAGGAATATGCCAAACTGTTTTTCAAAGGGGGGTCATACCATTTTCTCCATTCAAAGTGTATGAGACTTTCATCTTCCACAACCTAGCCGAAATTTAGTACACTCAGTTCTTTTAATTTTAGCCATTCATAGGGGGGAATAATGCTATCTCATAGTTTTTATCTGTATTTCCTTAATGAATAAATAGTGCTTCTAAGGGCATTTTTGTTGGTGAATTTTCTGTTACAATATTTTGTCCATTTTCTTGTTTGAGGATTTGTGTTCTTATTCAGAATGTGAGGTTTTCTGCTTTCTGAATACAAGTCTATCAGGTGTTGAATTTTAATTTTTTTTGTGTTGGACCTAGGGTTTGAACTCAGGGCCTGGGTGTTGTCTTTGAGCTTTTTGCTCAAAGCTATCACTCTTCCCAATTGAGCCACAGCTCCATTTTCAGCCTTTTGGTGGTTAATTGGTAATAAGAGTCTCACAGACTTTCTTGCCAGGCTGACTTTGAACTGCTATCCTCAGATCTCAGCCTCCTTAGAATTTAGGATTACAAGTAGAAGCCACTGATACCTGTTGAATTTGCAAATATTTTCTCTCTCAGTAGCTTTTCTTTTCATTCTCTTAATGGCATCTTTGGAGGAACAAAAGTTTTGTCTTTTAATGTTGAGGATTTCCAATTTATTAATTTGTTCATTCATGCTTTGGATGTTGCTAAAGGTGTCATATGTAA